TCTGAGAGATTTTATCTGCAAAGAATTTGTTAAACACGTCACAGCAGGACATTGTGGGGTTAAGTAAGGGATTTGGCGCAGGGGGCACCTGCATCATCTCCATCACCACCCTAAACAGTTCTGCTGTACGGGACTCTGCAGACGCAATACGTGCAGAGGAGAAAGCTCTCTTCGCTGCATGTATTGCCTCCCAATAGGACCAAAGAAGGTTCCTATGGCGAGTTCTGTCAGATAAGAGGTGAGTCTTCCGCCACTTGTGCTCTAGTCGTTGTCCAAACCGCTTCATCCTCCTAAGCTCTGGTGTATACCAAGGCCTATGGTTTGAAGCAGGATGGCAAGGACGCTTGGGAGCGATTGTGTCGATAGCCCTGGTAAGATCGGTGTTCCAAGTATTAACCTGAGCTTCGACAGGGTTACCGGCATTCCCCAAACCCTTAAAGTAAACAAAGTTTGTCTACCAGTCCTGAAAAACACCCAAATCAAGACTCAGCACATGCAAATGAACATCACCAAGGGTCAGGGGTTTCCCAGCAGACAATAGATCACTAATTAAATTGACACAATGTCCCCTCACATATCCTCCCACCCTGAGGCCTTGCCATTCAACAACAGAACAACACACAGATTAACATGTAAATCACTTCCTCTCAACCAAGAGTCACACAGTATATATACCCCACAAACCTTCATGCCACTATTCTCTGAAGATGCTAGCCACAGATGCAGGCGAAACATCAGAATTCTTCCAGAACATGGCCACATAGCCTGAAAACCCACAAAAAGCTATAAAATATTGAGAGATTCTGTGATAGAGTCGAAGAAGAAACTGATCACACCAAAACAGGATTTCTGGTTAATTATAGGTGATTTGAATGCAAAAGTAGGAAGCAGAGAAGGATCAGATTGTAAGAAAATTGCACTGAGTATATTTTCTGCATACAAGTTGAACAAACAGGGTGACAGAATGCAGTCTTGGCTGAACCCTTTTCAGATTGGGAACCATTCTGTTCCTCCATATTTTGTGGCCCTATCCTTTCCATTTTATTTTTGCCTCTGGTACCAAATTTTCTGTTAAACAGGAATATAGCTACTTCTTTAGCTAAGGTTTATCTCTATTTACATTATTTCCAAATAGTTTGATGCTTGAGGTTATCCATGCCATGATCAAATGCCTTTCACACAATTTGGATATGAAAGGGATGGTGCGGATTTGGCTCCATACATTCTACCAACCTACAACTCTACTAAATGCTTTGCAACTTGCCATATGGTATCTTAAGTAGTGCTAGTCTTTTGCTGTTCCTTGTTCATCTGAATGAGCTCTTCAAGATCTGCATGGAAAAATACATTGTAAAATTCTTTCAATGTTTAACTAACCAGTAGTTACAACATTTTACTGCATTCTTTTATTGGCACAGAAGTTTGTGATTGTATTTGTTTATTTCTTTAGGATATTCAAATTCTTCACAAAAATGATTAAAATGCAAAAATGCAATCCAATTTATAGAGTGGGGGGTGAGCAACTTCTATCAGTATTGTATCTTTAATGAGTCTAGCCATCAAAGGTTTTCACCTAGCACTAAACATTCTTTGTAGGTGCCAATCAAGCATCTTTGTAGGAAGCATTTCACAACTATGACACAGCCAAGTGTGCCAATCCTATTTGTTGGTGGGAACACCAGGGGAAGGTTCTCTAAAGGAGATCTGACAGTTTGGTTAGGTATTAGTGTTGCCAGGTTAGCACCATGTTTGGCACTGAGATTTCAGGACAAAAACCTGAGACCAAGTGATGACCCCTGGTGATGTCAGATGCTGTGGTTTTGGTGGTGTCATTAGGTATGATATATTAAACATCAACCAAAGTTGCGCAAAGTGTGTCATTCAAAGTCTGGAGGAGAAAATATATATAACACACTTTCCATCTCAATACTGTCACCTGAGATCCCTGCCCCAATCCCGAAGTCCAGAGAACTCTAGAAGTATATATGGGAGAAATTAATCTGACCCCAGACTGTTCAGAGTATTAAAAACCTAAAATTAGCACTTTGAATTGGTCTCAAAAATGGACCAATGCAAATGGACCAGTGCAAATGACAAAATAAAAGCATAATGTGATAAAATCATCAAATCCTAATTAAAAATAATTCTACCTATATTTCATTAACTAAAATTCCAGATTGTTTTGCAAGGCAGTCTGTGATGTGATAGAATGAACATATATTTCTTTGTGTAAAATAAATAAGTCTTGGTGCTGCCACCCAAAATGATGGCAGTCTCAGCATATTGATGAAACTGGAGAATTGGGGCAGTAATACGTCAGTTATCACTACCAGACATCACTTTTTTTTGAATATTGAAGAATCCAGATGTCTGCCCAAGTTTCCCCCTCTCCTAAAAAACTTTAGTTTTATACATTCTGTCATGTGGGACCTAGAGTGTGTTTCTTAGTATGCAGAAAATACACAGGAAGGGATCCAGTCACAAAAATTAGCACATGTTTGGCTTGATAATGTTAACAGATATTGTCTCCTCTTCCTCTACCTTAGTGTTTCCTAAAAAACCACCAAATGAAATGACTTACCAGGGTGTAGAGGCTGAATTTGCCCTAATGGGACAATTCTTTTTTGCTGTATTGTCATTAATTTCAGTGACCTTTCCCACATTTCAATGTAGTTAATTCTATCTGT